CAGTGTGTTGGTTTGTGCGGCGTGTTGTCCGCCGTGGCGTCACACGGAACCTCCTGCTCGCCTTCGGCTCGTTAATTTTTCATAAACATCTTGAAGGGGGTGCATGTGTCTAAGTGTGTGTTGGTCGTGCAGCGTGTTGGTTCATGCGGCGTGTTGCCCGTCGTGGCGTCAAAGGGCGCCTCCGGCGCGGGGAACCTCCTGCTCGCCTTTGGTGTCATGGTACTAAGTCTGACAGTAAGAGTAGGGGGTACGTATGAGGAAGAAATGCCCTAGCTATGGCGAGGTTGTACACATGAGTTTACGAGTTCAGGCCCCTCTCGGAGGAGGTAGAAGCCCTACGTCTCGGAGCCCTGAGGCGGTCGACTGGAATATGGGTGTGTGTTACAAGGGGTGCGAACCCTTGTCCCAGAGGAGGGGGTGGCTTATATAGAGTGCGACAGGACCCCAGCCGTCCCCCGTTACAGGGTTCAATGTACATTAAGACAGTGTGTTACTGGTAATGCCAGATATAAAGTGCTATTACTGATCTTTAAGACTACAGAGTGAATGCTTGACCATTGCCATCCTGAGTGACTCTAGGTCTTTTGTACTCCGAGTGGTTTCTTGTATGGTCGAATGACTCCATCTTGGTCGAGTTAAATTGGGGGTATCCGAGTGAGGTGACTGGTCGAGTGGATTGCACTCTATGGCTACTTCAGTCGGTATTTCTTGCTATACTTTGAATGTCCTTGATTCTAGGGTAGTGACCTTGGGTAGGGCGTATAGGTCAGGCCTATGACCCTACCCTAGGTCCATGGCATCGTCATTAGCCCCCTAATGGATTGAGGTCTGAGTGAAAAGAGAGTTGAAGTTGACCCTATCTTGACTCTTATGCTTCGTAAGCTTTCTTACTCAGCTCGAGGTTCATGCTGAAACTTCGAGTTCATTTTAGTCACCTTGATCGATTCAGAGGTCGTCGAGTGAACTTATACTGGCAGTCTTCGAGTGTTGATATGGTGTGAAATCTTCAGCGCGATTGGTTACTGCGGTTCCTGGATCTCACGGGATTCGAAAATTTGGGGAAGCACGCGAGGCGGAGCGCGCCGCAGTAAACGGGACGGATTGATAGGGGTGCCTCGATTCCCATGCCGCCTTTTTCGCCACATAGCCGGTGCGCGACTGTTGCGGGATTTGACAAGATTGCACATGCCCATGCGCC